TTCCAGCTGCACCTGCATTTAGTCAAAAACAGAAATGAGGTTCACGCAGTTCTTGGTTTAGTGTTTGGGTGAAATAAACACCCGGACTGACCTCAGTGTAGATTGTGATTCCCACACTTGATTCCCAGTAACCATGGAGAGATGGAGGATGGGAAACAGCATTCCTTTAGGAAGCGGGAAGGAAACTTTTCACCACAGAGAGACGATTGTTTATTCAAGTTCAGGCCCAACACAGAGGGATGCAGAGCTTTTGAGGAGAGGAAGAGGAGAACTACAGGAAAGATGGCTAATGGGGAAAAAGAGATGAGTTACCACAAGGAAAGACAGAGAACAGGGTCATCACAGTAAGTGAATATCAGAGCAGTCAGATTGGTTTCCACATCCAGCCTCCTCGCAGTTTGCCATCCATATCTAAAGAACCATACATGCTGGTGCCAGCTCCACACCACTGAACCCTCTGTGGCAAAACTTTGAGTCTCCGGGCCGTGACAGCTGTGGGCCCTGAAGTGGCGTTTCCCAGAGAGGCAGCCAAACATTCCTCACTGCTTTGTGTCGCACAATGGGCACAATAACATCAGCAACAGCACGGCGCTCAGCTTTCTGAGCCTTGATTATATGCAGGACCATATATGTCCGCCTCGTTTTATTCCTCTCTCCGTCTCCTTTTTCTTTTCCCCTCTCACTTTTTCCTCTCTGCTAATGTTTGAAAAAAAATATTGTATGGTTTGAAATTCAACACTTTCCACTTTTGTAATGTGCCTGGCAGCTCTGCCCACGCATTGTGTAGGGGCTTAATTTCCATCCTCTCTGTTCTTAAGTGCAGCTCAATTCATCCGGAGAGGATGTTAAGGCTTGTTCCGAGGGTTGAAAGAATACTTCTTAATGAGTGCTGACAAAGAGTCAGGCTGCAACAACACAACCTGCTCTACAGAGACACAGACTTCAAACTCGTTCTGTTTTCGCAGGTTTTGACTGCACTTTGTGTGTGTGTGTGTGTGTGTTATCCTGTTCACTCGAACACATCCTCCATCCTCCACTTCAGATCACCTATCAAGCCAAAGTGTGTTTTCTCCTCTTCTGATGGGCTTTTGAAATCACAGTCTTCCTCTTGAAGCTTTACACTGACACTTAAGGCTGCATACAAAGGCCGTTTCTCTGTTCTTACGATCTCCTCACAGAGCTACACTGCATCTACTAATATCACCAGGTCTTGTCTCACCAGAAGAAAATTGGTGTGGAAGGCAAGAACCAGTCTGCTATAGTTAGAGTTTGCATAATTAAAAGGAAAAATGTATAATTGTCAACACACACGCCTCACACTTAACAATGTGACCAAGAGCCGCGTGGCCGACTCGTTGGAAGGAATAACTGAAGCCAGTTGAAATAAGAATAGATTCTGTGATGTACAAAACAGGTCTGAAACACTGATGAAACACCTGCTGTCAGTAAGACAGTAATTTGGAAGTTTGTGCAGGTTATTTATTTATCTACTTTACAAAAATGAATGAAAAATTCTCCCTTAATTTATATTTTTTAACTCTGTGGAAGTTCTGTGGAAGTTACCTGTGTAAAGTTTGACTTTTACACGCTGTTCTTCCTCAATGTCACTGTCCGCTTCAATGCTGACACGGTGGTCCTGCATCTGTGCTGCGTCTCTAGCCAGGAGTGTGTGTTCATGCTTCTGTGTCTTTCTAAATATACTTTGAATTCAGGTGGTCGGTGGCGAGATCCGAGCAGGACCAGCTGGCTCTCTGTACAGGGCACCACCGTGCCCTCTGACCCCCAGCTGGTGGGGGTGCTGGACCGGCAGGACACGGCCATAAATTCATGAACACAGAGCATGTGGAGGCATTCAGGAGACAAACACATCACCTGCTGCCGCCTGGCACAAAGCCGCTCTTACTGGCCTCTTCACTACCACCAACCTGCCTTTGCTCTTCAGAAAGTGCAGAGTGTTCCCATGGAAATGAGGTAAACAACAGGGGCCAGGTTGTCAAAGAGTGTTTCTCAGTCCTTTAAACACATTTTTAGGCAAATATGTCATCTGAGAAAACTGTCTACTGTAATGAATAAACCATCCTGAACCAAGATTTTGCAGAGTTTAAATGAAACAAAGGATCTTTGAGGAGTAAAACAACCAAAAAGTAAAACTGACCTCAGAACCGAGGAGGAAAGAATGCTGATAAAACAGAAAAAAATACGTATATATACTGTGTATATAGTTTGTAAAGAACGCTCGGGGTTGGCCGCAGGGATACGTATATATACTGTGTATGTAGTAAAGAACGCTCGGGGTTGGCCGCAGGAAATGACAACAAGTAACGTGAAATGGTGTAAAGAAAAATGGTAAATTAAGGGGAAGCAAAAACAAGTGTATATAAAGGTTAAAAACTGTAGGCACAAGTACACACAGGTACCATCGAGGATGATGACATTTCATATAAAGATACCTGCATAATGTGACAAGACAAGACGAGTGACGCTATTATAAGAAAAACAGAGGGAAATAATGAAAAACCAGGGTCAAAAAAATATTAAATTTGTGAAAAAATACTGCATTACAAATGATTTCCAACTTTAACCTTTTGTGTTAAGGGATCTTTACCACACGTGAACATAGCCTATATTTGCACCACATTCTGCATACACTACTCTAAATGTCACCAGCTAAGTCAGTTACAGAAAAAAAATCAGAATGCAGTTCAGTGTGGTGTTCGTAAAAACTCTTTGTTTCCCTCAGAGGAAACACGGTGACAGCAGAATGTTGTAAACAAACAAACACAAACACAACCTCTAAGACAGTGCAGCCCATGAGACACGGGCCTTGGCCTTAATATAACTGTGGCTCTAATAAAACTGTCTGCAGTGACAAACTTTGACTACGGGTTTATGCTCTAAACACTGATCCGTGGAACACACACACATACACACCAACGTCCCATGCCCAGATGCACCACCTTTTGCATGTAGGTGCAGGACCACAGCAACACAACACCTCAGTCAACAGAGTGGCTGACGGAGAGATGAGGCGGTTTCTCACCGTCTAAGAGTCGTTCAGTCTAGACTCCAGATGTTGGCAAAACACCACCGAGAACACACCTACTCACTCACTCACCTGCACACATGTAAACACACACACACACAGGCAAACAAATACACACACGTATGGACTGAACTGTCTTCACCTCTGCCAGATGTCACTAAGAGCTGTTTTGTGTCTCACCACTGAGACTGTGTGTGTGTGTGGGAGTGTTTGAATATAATCTGTGTGTACCGGCGCACACATGCATTAACGTGTGCGTGCTTGTGTGTGTGTGTATACACACGTAACCTCTACGATGGTAATAACTAAGTAACACAGCAGTGGGCGCTCCACTTTTTTGTGAAATGACAAATGTCCGCCCCGTTGTTGAATGTTAAGTTTTGCTGCTTTAACATAGGCACCCATTTAACTGCTGAGTGATTAGTGTGAATGCAGAGGAGAGAGTGTGCATCCAAATTGCAAACATTCTCAACTTGGAGCAGCAACACAGTGGGAATCTGCGAACTCTGTGACAGTGATTGATTGAAAGCGAGCAGCTCTGACTCCAGGAGGCATATGTTTGGTTCTTTTCACTGAGTTAGTGACATATCACACCACCAGTGTCTCCATTTATCAAGAACAATGGCTGTCATCTGCACTTAAATGTGAAATGTGCTGTAGTTTCTCATTGAGTTATCTTATTTTGGAGTAACAAAGTCCCAAACGTGAAGCACGCAGGTAAGTTATTCTTTGTCAGTCGGAGTAATAAAATGTCGTACATCAGCGTGAATGTGTAACAAGTTACAAAAACGGCACAGATAAGTTCAGGGTTTTTGTAAATACAAAAAGTTACAAAAACAGCACAGATAAGTTCAGGGTTTTTGTAAATGTTTGAGAAAAAGTTTACTTTTTAAAGGAATAAATTATGAAATACTGTGATCATGGTCGTCAGGTAACATCACGACTCACCTTCTATGTGTGACATTTCGCGGCTGTCAGTGTGAAAACAACAACCATGAAATTATATATTTTAATATATAAGTGGTAAACCCAGCCAGAGGATGAAAAAAATGTGACTTATAGTCTGGAAAATACGGTAATATCATAGCCTGAGTTTTTAGGGATTGTTTTTCGATGCTCATATTGAACTATGTTTCTGACATTATCTCCTGTCTTTTACCTCAGTTTGGATATGCATACAGTAGGGAAATGTTTATGTGTTTTTGAAGCACCTTGGACTTAAAATGCCATCTCAAGCCCAGCGTATGTTTGTGGAGGTTTACGACAGCCTCACAAAGTATAGGGCAGTAAATCATTCTAAGTGTTAGCTGACATGTCGACTGACACAAATGCCAAATGGATTGCAGGGAACTGTAGAAGCGTTAATATTGTTTAGGATATTGTAATATTGTTAAAAGTTTTGAAAGACGATCTTTTATTCCTTCTACCAGGCACCATTAAGATGTAAAGTAATGACTAAAATCGACCAACTCTCTGAACTAAGAGGAAGTAATACTACTCTACTGTGTACTGTATATATGTTTTTCCCATGTTTAGGAATGTTGATTAATCTCAAATAATCACAAAGAATCGTTATGTTATTTATTAGACCAAACATTTTAATTGTTTAAGAGACCAACTTTTATTATAAATGCATGTTGACATAACTAGGAGGTAAAACATTTTCCAAAGACCTGAATTTCTGTGGTAATACATACTGTATGGTCCTGTCCTGACCTCAGTCTTTTCTCCTCATCTCTTATCTTTTTTCCTTACCTGTGGAGGTGGGTGTGGTCTGCAGTCATTGTCGTTCTGTAAAACAAGAGCACATAGTCTTTGTGGACAAGTTGAGTTTGATGGACTTAACTGCAGAACTGACCCTGAACAACATG